AGGGCATTGTACTTGATCTCAAATCATCGCTCAACAATTAAAACAATGCACCAGTCATTTTTTTTTATATGCACTATTTATAAATTTTTTCGATTATTGTCAATGATGAGTCAGCAGAAAAAAAACAATTAAAACATTTATCTGACAATTTTTCGAAATTAAGACGGAAGAGCAGAAGAATAAAAAAAATCATTATATAATTTCGACAGCTGGTTTATTGTATTTTGAGAATGGATAGCAATCGCAGTTGGTGCACGACAAGACTAGTTCATCCTACACGATTAGGTTGCTATTGCTTATTTTCCGACACAAGATTTCAACACATGTGTGAACAAATTTCGATTACATCTAAAAATCTGAGGTTGTGGAGCGGCATGTTGGAGGTATTCAAAAGCACGAGCGATTCGGGCTGGGATAGCTGGGGCGACTGGCAAATGTGATCCGGTGGGTTGGAAACCGTTTTCGTCAGCAATGTAGCTCAATTGGACCTTCTCGCCTTCTGGGGAGGTGTAAGCGTAATCACCTTTAACAGCAATGCCTGCTTCTGAACCGATTTGTTTCAATTGACCTTGTTCCTTGGTGGCAATTCCGTTTGAGGTTTGATAAGCGTAGTTGAATGAGTCTGGGTTGACGACGGCATCGTTGCGCAAGACTTGAGCGGTGGCGTCAGAGCTAGCATGGTGGGGACCGAACACGAGTGTTTTAAGGGCGAGTGGGTCGATGGCGTATGAGCCAGCAACGAGAGCGAACAATGCAATGGCCTGAAATCAAAATAAGATCCGATTAGAACTCAATTTACTTCAAAACATTACACTTGTTTTTTTTTCTTCAATTCTGTATCAAAAATCGGTTTTGTTCTATATTTTCATTTATTCTATTCACAAAGCTCTATTTTGACTCAATTTATCGAAAATTATATAAACTTCTTTCGATACTCACAACGAATTTCATTTTGGTTGATTGTTTTTGTTTCCTTCTATGCTCTGCCTCAGTTAGGATGCTGTATATATACCAAAAAATCAACCAACGGTGATACGATATCTTTGGTGGTAAATTTCGGTTGACCTTTATATTTTTTAATCTCCACGCAATAAAATAGGTAAAATTGATTTTGCTTGACCAAAATGGGAAAATGTTCGACGAAAGTCGGATACCGGTCCGGTCCTATCCCGGCTGTATAAATAATTCATTATAAAATGGTTTGATGCCAAGAATCAAGATTTAGCTTGAAAATGAAGGAAAGAAGAAGAAAGACATTTTGACCATCAACGACCTTCGAACATAC